GCGTCAGTAGTAGAAGCAGCACCCGAACTCCTGGGTAAAACCCCGAGGATTCTCTACATTCCTCCCAGAGCCCAAAATACAGATCAAACATGCTGGTTTGACGCACAATGAGGGCAGTACAGCTCAGCTGACGAAATTATGAGAGTACACACTATCCATTTTTCCAAATGTTGGGAGACTCGTCTCCCCCTCTCTACTCATGTTGCTTTCAGTAATGGTATTTCCATGGGGCCAGATTCCCCTTTTCAAATGTAGGATAAAATTAAGGTAAGAAGATTAAGATTGAGTAAAATGTGCAGCATTCTCTCAAACCATTCTAAATTTTGGAATGTTTTGGTGAAACATCTGGCTTTTTTTTTTTTTTTTAACTTTCCTCATAGAACGAGGCCTGGAGCCAGCGTGGGAGGTGCAAGGCACTACTTGGAAGCACACATGTGTATTACTATACCCCTGGTGCGGCCTCACAGGTCACTGTGCCAATAGAGACTGAGGGACTGGACCTGCCTCCTCCATTTAACAAGGGTCTACTTTTAGCGGGTACTCAGCCCTGCCCATGGGCTATCTGAAAAATAAGATACACATTTTCATCATTATAAATCTCATTTCAAATATTAGAGCCTTAGAGTTCGGTTCTTTGTTTAAATATACATGTTTGACTGGTTTTGAATTGAGTAGAATAAGTATCCCTTCTTTCACCACTACTTGGACAGGAAGAAGGACGTGTTTCTTGTGTAGCTCATTAATGGGATAACTTTGGCTTTTATCTTGTAAGCCAACTGGTTGCCTTTGGCTAGAAAGATGTCTATTACCTTATAACATCCTCACTTCTGGGGCTTTCTAACAGCTGCTTCTGTTTGCTACTTTGCATTTTCTCAATTTCTCTTCATGATCTCATAACCAAGTAAGAGTCTACTTATTCATTTATTATTTTTCAGCTTATTAATGTACTGTCATGCCTCCTGGCTGCAAAAATATGATAAAATCACTGGGAAAAAAAGTCAATAATTAATGAGTTTTATTCTCTCTAGCTTACGAAATTCAAGAAAAAGATCTTATTCAAACTCTTGAAATGTAGACTTAACCTTCAGTTCTTAAGAACAGAAAATATATACTCCAAACTAGAAAATGAATACTTTAAAAATGGCTTTTTCTTAAAGTCTAGGAATTAACAGAATCATCCTGGCCAAATTTAACTGACATTAGGATAGATTGAAAAAACCTAATACTGTCACTCTTGGATTCTCCAAGATCTTCGGAACATTAGTCATTTAAAGAACACTCTGAAAATGAAAGAAGTCTCATTTTTTTCTGTTTTCCTTAAAGGGGCCCAATTTTAGTAAGGGGGAAACAAAGCAGTTATCAGAGCAGACACCTTTACTGAACTGGACATACTTTATTTATCTGACGAATACTTTTCTGAACATCTCCTATATGCCATAACCCATGCCCTCATATGATAACGTTACATTTTATTTGAGCAAGTATTATGAGATTACAGATATAAGATACCACAAACCTTGTCTGGAGAGATGGAGGTCTATAAGGGATCTGGAGTTCTACCCTAATCACAAGCTGACAAGCTAGCCTGGTACTATTTCATGGATGCTGACAGAAGACACGAGTCTCCTGGGTCAGAGACAAATGATTTTATTACTCATAGTACAGTGAGCAGCACTAGCATGATGTTGGCACCAGGTTCCCATGCTCTCCTTGTTCCACAGGGCACTCAGGTAGACCTAGGTGAATGCGGGTACATGCTGTAAGTTGTGTTACAGAAGAGAAACACGGAGCTTAAGGAATTTGCCATTTTTCTAGTGAGTGGCAAGCAAAATGCTACTTCAGCCTTCATGATTGCTCTCTGCAAGCACAACGCTCAGAAATGGCCAGGGTAAAGAATAGTCAAGGCCTTGTGTTCTTGGCATCCCCAGCAAAAATGTGCAGGGAGGGATGCTTAAGGCCGGTGATGAATTACTTCTAGCAGAAACTTCACCGATACTTAGGCTGGAGTGATGAATATGTGGTAAAAACAGAAGGACTCATTTCAGTCAGAGGGAGCAGAATTTCCAAGGGCCCTGAGGCGTGGGAGGCACTGAGGGCTTTCAGGAACAGTGGAGAGTCTGGGATGGTGGTGAATAAGGCTAAACAAGTAGGCTGGCATTTAGTCATCAAGGGCTTTTACATGCCATTGAGATTATGGAGTGTGGCTTTTTGTTTTATTTTAACCTAACAAAGCTTAGAGCATTTTAAACAGGGGTATGATATGATTGAATTTTATGTTATGTGGAGATAATGTGGAGAATAGACTAGAATCAGAAATAAGTTACCTGAGCCTTTTACCAGGTGTCCCCAAAACACCTCACTTCATTTATGTCCTTTAACACCACCCCCCTACAACCTCTCCCGTTTTTCTAAGACTTCGCTACTTTATCCTACCCTGTCCTATTTACACCTTCGAGAACCTCACAGACTCACCTTCATGCCTGGCAGCCCTCTCCCTCCAACGCACATTAAATATACTCAGATTCTATTTAATTTACTGAATTTTACAGTATTTTTTTGAGTTGTAAACATGTTATTTCCTGGGAATCTATCCACTGATTTTTTTTTCATATGTCAATATTCTAGTAAGAATTTTTACTTGGCATGATATAATTTATAAATCCAAAGTCTAGAAAAGGTAAATTGTAACATTCAATTTATTAAAATGAAAAACACACACTCGCTATTTCAAATGTTTGTTTAATTCTGAAAAATCATATGAAGATAAGTATAAGTATGATACTTTAAGAGATTGAAAAATGGACTAGCTATATTGAACATAAGCCAAGATACACAGTGTTTTATTTTCTTTGTAAGTGGTTTTAAGACCCTTTCAAATTTTGCAGTGTGTTCTAGGGGAGAAGTGATGGTGATTATTTTTTCAACCCATCCTGGGAAAGTGCTCGTAGTCCTGGTATTCATTTGCTGTCACCACTGTAACAACTTACCACAAATTTAGTGGCTTAAAACAACGCCGAGTCGTGGAGTCAAGGACTGGTTCTTTCTGGATGCTCTAAGGGGGAGGGTCTATGTTGTTACCCTTTTTACCTTTTAGTGTCACTTGTCTTTGTTGGCGAACCCCTCTCTCTGTCATCAAGGCATCTCACCCTGACCTGGTTAGGTTGTTGCATCCTCGGTGACTGATCTTTCTCCCTCTTACGAGAACTGTGTGATTGATTACGCTAGGCTCAGCTAGGTAATTCAGGATAATTTCCCATCTCAAAATCTTTAACCTAATCACACCTGCAAAGTCCCTTTAGCCTTAAAAGGGAACATTCATAGGTTCTGAGGATTACAATGTGGAATTTTTTTTTTTTTGGAGGGGTGTCATTATTCAACCTACCACAATTCTGTTTCCTACTGAAAGCACTGTTCGTTTCTTCTTCCACAGCTTTACTTGATTTGGGGTTACAGCTGAGATAATTGGGTTCCCTAAACATATCATCCATGTATTGATCTGTTTTAGAATATTAGAAAAATATATTCTTGGAGTTGGAGGCTTCTGAGTGGATCCTCCTTCTTTACAGAATGGATCATTTTTGAATATGCCAGGTGGGTTTGCTAGGTCTGTCTCTCGCTAAGTACTCAGCCTGTCTTTGCCCTACCAATACCCCCTTATCCCCCCACAATCAGTGCATCATGCCTCCAGACTGCAAAGTGCTGATATCTGCATCTCTTGGCCCAAAGGTTCCCTGATCTCAGAGCCTACCTTGTTGGTGCTAGGGCACGCTGGGCACACTGCAGAAATGAACACCCCCAGTCTCCAGCAGCCCCGACTAATGAATGTAGCTAGTGTATTAAGATCCCAGCCCCTTCATTTGTTTATTGTAATTCATTCTGTTGACTTACATAACATAAAATTCAGAATATTGTACAACCATCAAAAGTATGAACATTTCTATCCCTCCTCAAAAGAACCCCCATACTTGTTATGGGGTTACTCCCAAGTCCCCCCCACTTCCCATCCCCTGGCAACCACTCATCTACTTGCTGTCTCTATGAATTGGCCCATTTTGGAGATTTCATACAAATGGAATCATACCATAGGTGGTTGCTCATTTTCGGATGGACGACTTCAAGGCACATGTTCACTGCTGGTTCTCAGATTCCCCCGCAGGACTAAGCTCGCTGCCCACAGCGGTAACGGGCAATGAACTGGCGGCCTTTTCTTTCTTATCTCACTTCCTTACTTTCTCACCAGTGTTTCCTTGAATCTCCTCTCAAAGGGTTTGCACTTGAGTCTTTGCTTTCGGGGCGGCCTCTGGGGGAAACCAAACTAAAATACTAGGTATATCAAGTTAACTAATCTATGCATCAAATATACGCTGAAAGTTTACGTTATGCTTGGCACATTGCTCAACACTGAACGTACAGCACAAACAAGTCCAGTACCATCCCGGTGTCATGGAGGATGTCTAAGCAGGGAAGAAAGGCATTAAGCACATTACAGGCGAGAGGAGTATTCTAAAGGAGCAGAGGAGGGAGGGCCTTCCTCGGGATGGGATTTGAGGAAAGGGAAGGAGTTAGCCTGGTGAAGGGGGTGGGGAAAGTGTGCCAGGCATGTGGACCCACTCCAAGATTGAGCATGGTACCTTGGGGAATTGAGAGAAATCCACATGGCTCTTGTAGAAAGAGTTGGAGGAGGATAGTTGTGTGAGTACTTACAAACCTTTCAAGGAAGGATTTGGTGTCCAGCTGTGGAGCATACACTGGTCAGCAAAACAGTGACAACTGTTGGCTGTTTCCGGTGTGCCTTACCTCTGGAGAGCCACCTTGCCCAAGGTCACCTCCTTCCTGAAGCTGCCAGCATCTGGTGACAGAGTGAGATAGGGATATAGAGGCACAGCCATCTGGCCTGGTGAGGGACACAGTCTCATCACCAACGGGAATATTTGTTGAGTCTGCATCACAGTCCAATTGCTTTCTCAGTGCAACCTGCTCCTGCCCACTTCCTTTCACAGGTGTTGATCCTTAATGAATATCGTGCCCCTCAAAGTCTGTGTCAGAACCAGCTCCTGGAGGACCCGACCTTCGACAGCAGAGAAACAGGAAGGCCTCGTGTCACCTGTGAGGTGTCTCCTCAGACATGGAGGCAGTGAGGGTCGTTGGAACCTGATGAGGATGGACTCCACGTCCAGTGAGGTGAGTAAGAGCGAATCTGGAGGCTTCACTCAAGGATCTGCAGGTTGCCTTTGAGAAATACCGAAGTGCCAGAATAACTCATGGGGGGAATATGGATTTGTGATGAGCATTAACATTTTGGGGGTACATTTAAAATACATTTTATTCTTTGTATGTGTTTTTCTAAATTTGTCTCAGATGATACCATTTGTATATGTCTATATAAATGAACCATACTAGTAATATGTCTATTTGGATTTATATGGTCTTTCATCCCTGGATCCCCCAGGAATGTGAGCAAAAGAAAACATCATAGAAATATTTTTTTCATAGATGATGATATTAGATTACATACCGCTGGCGTTTTTAAATTTTATGTTCTATGGGGTAGTAGACTTTTAAAATGATAATTAGATGCTACTCTAGTGGGTACTTTGAAAAGCCCTAAAATATTAAATAACTTGAATGTTTAACTTACGTTAGCTGGAACAGAGGCATCTGCATTCCTCTGTCCTTACCTTAAGGCATCCGACTGAGGCGCAGACACAGGAGGCCTTTCCCTCCCTAAGGGCCCTGGGATGCTACCCTGTAGCAAATGTTTTGAATGTGTCAAAATAAGCAATTCCATTTACATGAAGTTCTAGAACAAACTAATCTAATCTTTGGTGATAAAAATAAGAACAATGGTTACCTCTGAAGGGGGGGATTGGACAAGAAAAGGTCTTGAGGGTCTTTTCTAGAGTGAAAAAAAATGTCTGTATCTTGATGGGGTAGGGGTGTATCTTTGTCAAAACTCACTAACTATGCATTTTATGTAAATTTAAGAAGAATGCAGGCTGATAGTTTGAAAATGAAAACAAATGACTATATAAAACTAATTTAGAAAAGATTTAGATTTCAAAATTGTTTGGTTTTAATTTTCTGACTTAAATAAAGACAGTTACAGGAAAGGACTCACCAGCATGTGGTCCTAAGGGATATAAAAACATTTTTATCCATAGTTAATTATTTCGTATTAGAAATCAAGACTCTTACATGAAACAGAAAAGTTTTTGCATTTCATAAATGAGTTAGCTAGACGAGATTTGGTCACATTTCTGTAGCTTTTGTCTTCAGCTGACACCCAATACAGCAGGACCTCCAGTAATGTCCTTCCAGGCGACATCGTTTCCTTATGACGTTAATGAGAAAAAAAATGGCTTCCCAGCTGGGGCCACTGTGTGAAGTTGCATGTTCTTTCCATGTCTCCGTGGATTTTCCCTGGAGACTCCAGGTTCCTCCCACATCCCAGGTGTGCACACCAGGTAAATGGTTGCGTCTACATTGTCTTCGTCTGAGGGTGTGTGGGCGGGTGCCAGGAAGGGTGTGTCCTTCCCAGGATTGGTCCCACCTTGAGACCGGAGCTGCCAAAGGGGCTCGGGTCACCACGACCCTGAACTGGACTGAGCAGGTAGGAAAATGATTGTTTTAATTCATCTTTCATAAATATATGTTCTAGCTCACATTGATGTCATAGTTTAATATTAGAAGTGTTTTGGGTCTTTAGAAGTTTGGTGATGTTTTTGTGATCAGAAATATGCTGTAGAAAACAAACTCTTGTTCATATCAATTAGCCTGTAGTAAAACTGATTTCGTTATACGTCGTTTTGCTTAAAGTGGCAGTTTCCAAGAACTGTTGAGGATGTTAAGTGAGGATGTACTGTATTTCTACTTACAGAGTGGCCGCAAAGTTTGGAAATATAGGTGACTCTGCCCTGTTAGACCATGTTATGTGTCCATCGATTGCTGTATGCTCTTGACAGGCCAGGGAAGGTCACTTGTAGACCAGCGACCACATGACCCCAGAGTGGTAGGATGACAATTCCTAAAACTGGATTGGAAGCAGCTCTGTGGAGCGTGAGGAATGCTGGCCAGATCGGAACACCCCCCGGGTGTTGGTGCCAGAAAAACTCAGGACACGGGATGAAAAGATCAGTTTTAATAAGCAGATAAGCCACAAATTTTTTTAGTGTAAGCATGCGTGGGGACACTTATATATCTTGGGCGTAAGTGGGATATATATGTGGGTCATCCTGTGATGGACAAAATTATACTAAAAACTTGTTTTTTATCTGAAATTCAAATTTAATTGGTATTCTCTTATATTATTTGCTAAATCTGACTTGGGGTATGCCGACAGTTTTTTTTTCTTCAGTGAAAATCAGAGACAAAAATAGTCTGAGCCTGTGGTTCTCAAACTTTAGCTTGCCTCAGAATCACCTGCAGAGCTTGATAAAACGGACTATTGAGTCTGAGTTTATGATTATGTAGGTCTGGAGTGAGGCGCCCTTAAATTTGCATTTTACCATTCCCAAGCATTGCCGATTCCAGAAATCACATCTGAGAACTACTCATGTAAGGCGATGCAATACAAAGGTATACACAAGGATTGCTAGAAAAGCTGTGTGATGTATCCTGTTCATTGCTATTCTACCCAGCACACTAAACTATGCATCACTAACGAGGGACAACACATCAAACGTCATGTATTGTCACGTACTATCAATAAGCCATTTATTATATATAGTTGCCTCTGTTTCCAGACTTTATGGACACTCAAGACATAAGTTATTTTCCTCTGTAGTATATGGATTGCCTTTTAATGAATGAGAAATTAAAATTCCTTTTTAAAATTAGAATAGAATAAAGATTTCCACAAATCTATAAAATAGTAATAGCAGAGAACCTTTGTTAAATTATATACCAAATAAATATTTAACAAGGTGGGACACTCAGGAATTTTATTTATATTTTATTAAACACCACCACAATTTCCATAGCAAATTATATATACGCATAGCATTCGTATGACCTCAGGATTTTTGGATTATCCAGAGTGGAATTTCTACACCACGATTTTTTCCAGGAAGCTGACTTTCTTGGAGGAAGATAAAAGAGAAATTTGCTTGTGCTTTTGGTAGAATTGGAACATACTGAAATGTTTTAAAGTAAGTTTAAATCTGACCTTTTATATTTCTGCTATCAAGATTATTGGTTTTGTTTTTTACTTTTTTACTTATTTGCCTATTAAATTGATTTGGATAACTTCTTGAGAGAAAGAAAGACATAGAGAAAAAGTGAAAGAAGGCTACGAGAATATTTTGCTGGGTGTCTGAATTCTTTGTCTGCTGTTTGGAAATTGTTGATCTACCCAGGTACATGTTAAAAATCTAAGGACTACTTTATTAGAGATAAGTCCTAAAGTATTAATGGGTGAAATGTTATGGTGTCTAAGATTTGCTTTAAAATGCTGCAACAAGATAAAAGTTGGAGAAGGAACGATGAAATAATTTTGGTAAAATAAAATATTGATAATTGTCGCAACTGGCTGATGGGAGCATGGGGTTTCTTATACTACCTCATGTGTTTAGAAATTTCTATAAGTTAAAAAAAAAATTTAAGGACTTGGCTTATATCCTTAGCTTTGCCACTAATTGAACAACAGACCATACTCAAATCACTTAAATGTTCTGTGCCTCAATTTAAAAAAATGATCACACTGCAATTAGCACATAATTATTGAGCGAAGCTTACTGTGTCAGGAGTATTCTGATATTACTATCTAAATTCCTAGGAATATTGTCAGATTACTGAGAAGTATAATATATTTTATTCCCCCTATGTTTCAAGTATTATCACAAAATCCATTGTTGAAATTCTTTGAGTACAAATGTTTGGAGCACTGATCTTTGGTAAATGAAGGTTCCTGAAGACTTCCCTTTTTGTGTGTGTGCATTTAAGAATAGTTATTGAGGTCAGGTATCTGCTGAGATAGCAGCTGCTGACTCCTACATGAGAAGGGAATAAAAAAAAAATATGTTACACATCTTGGCTCCTTTTGGGTTTTTTGAGGAAAAGCAATGCAACCTTTAGATTTCTAAATACCATCTGTATCTACTACATGGTAATATATACTTTAATTTGGACACTTTTGCGTCAGTTCCTCCAAAGGCAGGTAAATGGAGAAGGAAAAATTAAAGATTAAGAATAGGCAAGCTTGTGTGTATGTTGCTGTGTATGCACAAGCATAAGCAACTAAGAAAATATGGAATGTAATCCAGTCATGGCATGTGGCATGCTGCCAGACTAGGTGAGATGACATCCCCCTTCTTATGTGTGAAATCGAAGCCATGGCATCGGTCTGATCCAGAAATGGCCTGTGGCTTGAAGGTCTGGGGATGAAAGTGTGTGACATACCCAGCTCTCAGTGGAGTGATTTACAACACACTCCTGACTGGCACTGGAGAAGCAGGAACAATAAAACAACTGCACATTAAGACGAGGATGCTCTTTGCACCTAATGGTGTGGAGTAGACATGGGTGCCATACGATAAGTGTAGGATGGACTTACCCTCCTGAATCATGAGAAATTCTTTCCTGTGGTTGTTAAGCAATTATTCCTTGGTGGAAGGTGCATTCTGTGCAAAGAAACCCTTTCATAGTGGTGTGTTTGAGTTAATGTATGCACTGAAAGTCGTCCAGGCCTGATTCATATGTTGAAGCCCTAACCCTAAGTGTAGATGCATTTGGAGACGGGCCATCTGAGGGAGTGGTAGGGGAAAATGAGGTCATAAGGGTGAAAATTGTTCTCCTTCTCTTCCCCCCACACCCCTTCCCACCCTTCCCTCCTCCGTCTCTCCTTCTTTGCTTCCTCCCCCTTCCTCTCTCTCCTTACTCGTCTTCCCTTTCCTCTCACTTCCCCTCTTCTTTCTCTGCCTCCCCTTCCTCCCTCTTCCCTCCACACCACCACTCCATACACGTGAAAGAGAGGCAAGCCAGGAAGAGAGGCCTTACCTGGAAATGAGCTGGTTGGAACCTTGATCTTGGACTTCCAGGCTCCAGAATTGTGAGAAAATGAATGTTGTTTAAGCCACCTGGTCAATGGTATTTAGTTCTGGCAGCTTGAGGAAACTGATGCACTCTCCAACAGACAGTTAGCTGAGAGCACTTCCTTCTGGAGTATACCAGAGGGGTTAGTTTTT